ACAAAACTAAACTAAATATGAAGTCCTAATAAGGGAGAATATTATAACTTATGAGAGTAGGATAGTGTATATAAATTCGGAAGTATGAACTTCTCTTTATGCCTCGTTATCAAACACATGTAATTACGAGATCATGCCAAAATGAAGGAAGGGATTAGCCTTAACATACCTTATCAGAATCTTTACAATCACCAAGTTGAACTCGCCTTTTCGCACCTTAATCTACAACAACGATGATAATACTATCATCAAGTTATGAAAGGTACAACTATCGCACAACGGATGACAAGGTTATTTTGTATAAAACGGGCAGCATCTCCCCTATAATCCTTATTTCCTCCAAATTCAAGATAACTCCAACAACACAAGAACACAACAATAACAACATATATACATTATTTTTCAGCCTTATATTACACCATCAAATACTACAAAACAGCTCAACATACTCCAATCTTTTCATACACAAAACAACCACCGTACTAGTGTCAAACGACCCGAAAATGTTACGACGAACAACCATCCCACCACCCTAAATCTATATGGTGTTTATCCACACCCTTACTCCTCCAAAAATCCACAAAAATGTAGTAAAACATGAAGCCCAATGTCAACACAAAACAGTCCGCTACAAGTGAATAACTCGAACTCACGGCTTCCGATCACCTTCCTGTGAGTTCTTACAAGTATAGAACGACTTACCATGAATTTACAACATAAAAATGGATGAAAGAGAGCATTAAACTTACCTTATTTGTTGGATAACTCAGCCCTTATCTTGGTTCTTCAAACTCTAGGTTTTACCCCCAATTAGAACTTGAAAGGGAGATAAAATCAATTAGGGTTTGTGGGTAATTGTTGGGAGGATGTTTGCAGGGGTTTAGGTCTGATTATTTGTGATATATAATGAGATTTATATTGCATGAGATAATACTTAAATGGGTTCTTTGGCTGACCCTAAATTGCCTCTTTTGGGCTCTCATTTAACCAAGTAGGTGACACACCTACTTGTTACCTAGCAGCCTGTGCAGTCTCACAAAACGGTATATATCTCTCTACTCCGATGTCGTATTGATAAATGGTTTGATACATTAGAAAATCAACTCATAGAGCTTCAATATTATGGGTGGAACATCCCATAACTCTAAGTATATTGGGAGAAAATCGCAGTTACATTTGCCCTAAGTTTCAACACATTTATGAATGTAACTTGTGATGACCTTTTCCAACTTTTGTTCCACAACTCGCTTGACTTCAAATCATAACACACGTCTATCATACGAATAATAACTCATAACATAATATCCTTATAGTTTTAAACACCCTATTCTCACCCCAAAAATACATATTACAACATTCCCAACTTGTCGACTTTTGACGAAACTTATTTCCTTCAATTCATTTAGCTACTAAGCCTTCAAATCCTCTTGGTACTTGGTATTCATTATCTTAAATATTTGTAACCTCCATTGTAACATGATTAAATTACTTTATGTACTTTCAAAGCTGATCTCATTTTCGAGCTTACATCAATTGACTTACGAATACTCTCATGTACGAAAACATGGGGTGTAACAGCGCAGTCTCGCAAAAACTCAAATATCTCTCTACTCCGATGTCATATTGACAAACGATTTAATGAGTTAGAAAATAGACTCATAGATATTCAATTTTATAGGTGTAAAACCCCGTAACTATAAGTATATTGGTAGAAAATTGTAGTTACATTTCGCCTAAATTTCAGTAAAACTTATGAACATAACTTGTGATGACTTTCATCGACTTTTGTTTCACAACTCGCTTGACTTCAAAACATAACACACGACTATCATACGACTAACATAACTCATAAAATAACATCATTATCATGTTAAGTACCCTAGTCTCACCCCAAAAGTACATGTTATAACATTGCCAACTTGTCGACTTTCGACGAAACATTATTTTCTTCAATTCATTTAGCTTCTAAACCTTCCAACCTTCTTTGTACTTGTTGTTCATGATCTTTAATATTTGTAACCTCCGAGGTAACATGATTAACTTACTTTATATACTTTCGAAGATGATCTCATTTTTGGTCCTACATTAGTTTGCTTACAACACACTTTTACGTACGAAAATATAGGGTGTAACAAGTGTTTACAAACTTCTAAATATACTTTTGAAATTTAAAGTGTTCAATTTGAAATATGAATTTTAAAACTTAGAAATTGAAATTAAGTGACTACATGAAATTATTTAATAGGACCAATATGTAAGGATCAATTTTCAAATGCTTTCATTTCATATTTTCAGTGCATAATAATACTTCAAATTAACTTGCAAATTCTATTTTTATTTTTATATTTTTGAACTTGCAAATTAAAAGTTTACAACAGTTAAAAGTTTAGTGTTTACTACTGTCAAATACCAATAAGAGCAAATTGTCTAATAAACTAATATGTTAAACTTAAGTAAGTCTAATAAATTCAAAATAACACAAATTGTCTTAAATCAACTTAAATAAGAATTCATGGAGGACGCTCAAGACAACCCTTGATATGCTTCCTTAAACCATATGTGCTCTCCCACTTTCGATGAATATTAAAAGACTCGACCATAGTTCTTGCACTCTACTTTGCGAACTTCTTCATTTTCTTCTACCACTTCAAAGTGTTCCCAAACATGTGAGTGCACTCTAAAAGCACGAAGCATGCTTGAACTTGAACCTAATAAAAATGGTAACCACACTTCACTTGAAAATTGTAATTTTGTAGTTGCTACCATAAAAGATAAAACTTGAAATAATAATTAATTGAGAACTTGAGAGCAATAAACAATTGATAATCAAGAGGGAATTGAGAGAGAATTAGAGTAGAAGAAGAGAGCAAGTTGTGAGAAAAAAAATAAAGAAGATGGGTTATTTGTAGTTTTTAGAAGGCTAAAAATATAATTTATTAATTATTAGGGGTGGGGGGACTATTTTAATAAGGAGGTAGGCCGAAATAGCAAAAAGTACAAAAAATGACCATTGTCCAATGGTCAATTTTGATTTTGACCTTTGGCAACAATCAAAATTTTTTAAAAAAATTACAACTTTAACCGGGCTGGAACACAGTTAAAATCCTTGAACGGGTTACCGAGCTAGCGGGTTCCAGTGCACCGATAACCAAAAAAGGCCCGATCCCGTCAGGCACAACCCCCTACCCCAGCCAACCCGTCCCACCCCTTACCGGACCAGGCTGACCCCGGTTGAATCGGGTCGAATTGGGTTGTTAGTGGGCTGGCCCGACCCGACCTAATTAACATCTTTAATTTAAATTATGTACTATAAAAATATATATCATTTACATTACTAAAAATGTTATAGAAAGTATTATTTTACTTCCTCTTAGTTCAAGCTATTACTTAATAATTATTTATTTTTTTATTATCGATGCCTCTAGAAAGAAAGTATTCTTTCGCATTGCAGTTTTTTATGTCTAAGGTTCAATGTTGTTTTGAACAAGTAACTCATCCTGAGCAATGCTTTAAATTTTCAAGCCTTTCTCGATCGAACCAATCCATTTTCGACAAGTCTTTCAGAATTGGAAGAGCAAAAATTAGATATATTTTTATAAGGATTAATTACCTCCTATAGCAAAGATTGATACCTTATTTATTTTAAATAAATACCCTTTTGAAATATTATATTCCATAACTATCTTTTGATTTTTTATAGCCAAATATCTATTTATGGTCACCTCCTACCCTTAAGCCATAAAATAAGCTTTGTATTATTTTTCTCTCTCATATCCCCTCAAATTTCTCCTATCCCCTACCCGATATCTATTTTTTTTTCTCCTACTTTCCGATGTCTTCTCCTCCGCGGATCCACCTATTAGGCGTGGTGATGATGACCCGAACGAGAGTTTAGAATAATTCCTGCCCTAACCAACTTCTGAATCTTGTTCATCACAAGGGGGTTCTTCATATGTTCCTGTGCAGCTTTGGGGTTCTCCTGGAAGTCAACTAATACCTGCTCGAGAACACGACATTCAGATCACAATATCGAGGCGTGCTTCAATAATACTACCAATATTATATTATACCAAACATTACCTATCTCCAGTATACACAGGGCATCAGATTTTGATGATTTTAATATTTAATATTTTGAGTTTCTCTCTAATTGTCGGCAACCAGAGGCAACAGTGGCGACGAGCGAGGACTGGATACTGATGCTGCTTCAACGAGACAACATTAGGGTTGTTCTTGAACAAAGACGACGGAGTTGGGGGCTGAGCAACTTGAATATTCTGTTAATATATTTCAATGTATCTCGTTGTATTTCATTGTATTTATTGTCTTTTTTTTCATTGTATTTCAATGTATCTCGATGTATTTTATGTATTTCATTATATTCATTGTCTTTTTTTTTCCATTGTATTTCAATGTATCCCGCTGTATTCTATGTATTTCATTGTATTCATTGTCTCGCTATATTCCATGAATATATTTATATGTTTTTTTAATTAATATAATTTATGTATTCAGATATATTATATAATTTCTCTAATGATTGCTATGTTTTTGGGGTATTTTTCGGTTGAGAATCTTTTTTATAACTGGAAATACAAAATTTGTGTGTTATAATTGAGTTTGTTGAGTTATATTAGGAGTCCATTATGTTAATTGATTCACTTTCTGTTTAAAAAAAGTGTAATCCGCTACTTCACGCCGTGAATACAGTCGAATACAATAATCTATTCAGCTGTAGTCGAATACAAAAATCTGTCTAGCTGTAATCATCCGTTTCACGCCTAGAAATGCTACTATATTCATGAATACAGTAACTTAAATATAATGAATACACTCTAAAAAAATCTGAAAACATAGCTATATGAAATAATATAGCAAATGATAGCTACAACTAGCTAATAACCACTAAAACATGGTAGTTTATGAAAGTTTCTCTTTTTATAATTAAAAAAGTTACTAGTAGTATATAATATTAAAGCCCCGTTATTAAGGAAAAAGAATTGTTTTAACATTATTCACGGTTTATATGTTTTCAAGCAAAAAAAGGAGTCCAAATTCTGACGCGAATTTCCAACTAAACTAGCCTCCGATTTCCACTTGCTTCTCAAACATCTCTTCCTCCGGCGAAGTCGAGTTGTAAGTTCCCCTCTTTATATCTCTCTGTATTTGAAAAAGGAAAACCCTAAATCCCTCTTCCCAATTGTTTAATAAAATTAAAAAAAATCTCATTCTGTTCCATGCTTTGTACTGCTCCGCTGCTTAAACAAATTGTCGACTTCGATTTCTCATGTTTCTTATTTGGAGGCTCATGTAATAGATGGCTCTGAAGTGAATATTTAGATTATTAAGATAATATATAAGACCGTAAAAGATGCTATTTTCTTTTTATTTATTATTGTTACTATTCAGCATTTGGGATTATTGGAGGTCAAGATTTACAACTGATTCTAATAGCCTGTTTGGCCAAAAATTGACCTTTGTCGAGAAGCAGAAACAGTTTTGGAGAAGCAGAAAAAAGTACTTCTCTCCGAAAGCACTTTTTTGAGAAGCACTTTTGAGAAAAATACACTTAGAAGCAGTTTTTTAAAGCTTGGCCAAACACTAATTGCTGCTCAGAAGTGCTTTTCAAACTAATTAGCCAAACACAAACTGCTTCTCAGCCAAAGTACTTTTGAGAAAAGCACTTTTGACAAAAAGCACTTCTCAAAATAAGTTAGATTTTTGCAGCTTGGCCAAACGGGCTATAATTCCTAACCAATAATTGAATGACATCCCGATTATATCTAATACAGTCTAAACAGACGGGCCATTGAGGTTTGTTTGGTGTGCTATTGAACTGACTTTTTAAAATCTGTAACAATTAGAAATTTTCCGTTTATACTATATACTTTATAAGCAAGAAATCTGTTTGTCTGAGCTCAGCATCTTATGTTAGCTTGTACGGCTAGTTCCAAGCTTGGATAAAGGGGGTGGTTGTAGAGTAGGTTGTCCGTTCATACTAAAACTAGTCAATTTATCAATCCTCACCGAATTATGAATCTTCACAGTATTCAAAAACTAGGTGTTATTGTTGTGCTGGGTTGTTGTTGCTGTGTTGTGCTGGGTTTTTCCGGGCCAGCTTATGCGAAACTCGACTATTCTTCCGTCTCCGTGTACCTACTACCATGCACCACTACTGGGTAACTCTGCCTACCAAGTTTTAGACGGGTGGGAAGAAATCACATAGTGTGTTGCCTTGACTGGAACTTGGACTTGAGACATCATGGTTCTTCTCCGTTGTTGTACTATGTTATAAAAAAGTCTGAAATTGTCCAATTTTGTTGAAGCAGAGAGCTGTCAAGGACAGAGAGAGCACAGTGATATTCGTGGGAGAGAAAAATGGTATTCTTTTTTTCCTGATCTCTCTTTCTTAGTGCTGTATATACTCGGTGTCTGCTTTGTTTTCTCCAATTGTTCTACAGTGGAAAGTTTATTTACCTTGTTGGAATCAATTCTTATTCGAGGTTTTTTCTCATATATCTATTTGATCTATATTCTGGCTGGGTTTTGCCTCTGACCCACTCTGTTTTCCAGTTGTTTTTCTCATATTTCAAGGATCTGGTAGGCAGAGAAGTGACTGTGGAACTGAAGAATGACTTGGCTATCCGAGGAACATTACATTCAGTTGATCAGTATCTGAACATTAAGCTTGAAAACACGAGGGTTGTTGACGAGGACAAGTACCCCCACATGGTAATTAATCCTTGTTCTCCTCCAATCGTGTGGGTTGGGTGGGACAATTGACATTTAGGGTTCATTTTATTTATGAGTTATGGTGTGTTCTTCTATCTTTGTTCTTCTTGTTTTCAATCGTCGATTTCATCTGTGAAAATATGTGGCCATGCATTTCATTTTGTTCTTTCTTTCACCTTCTCTCTTTGTGTACGATTGGTTGAGAACCTCTGATTGGCTCTCTCTCACTCTCTCAATTGAAGAACTTGTGAATTGGTTCTTTTTGGTTTGGTTATGCACTAGGAGGGCATGCTATTTTTCTCCTCCATAGTAGTCTTTAGTTGTGAACCCTGATAGATTTGCTAGAACTATTTACTGTTGGTTGGATATTTGAATTAAGGAGGGCCACTTTGAAGTACTGATGTCCAGTGAAGAAGGTCGATTTGAAGTATTAACTTCTCTGTGTGTCTAAAATTCTGGTCACTAAGGTTCACAAAGATATGAGATTCTTTTTGTAGTTTTAGTCTTATGGTTACGAGCTTTGTCGATCACTATGACTATGATTGTTTAGTGGCTCTGTCCTGCTAAGGCCTAGTGTTTGTTCATATTTGTTATAAGCTATGCTATGATCTATTCACCTTTCTGTTTAATGTAACTACTTATGTTACTTGAAGGCGTCTAGCTTTACATTCTTTGAACATTTGGACGCTGAGGATTTCTTATTCCAATGTTAAGAACTTGTAAGTACAAGAATCCAATATCACTGTAACTATTGTAGTGCTGGGGAAAACCTTAACTAAAGAATTTTGTGTCTTACTCAACCTGGAAGCTGCAGAGAAGACAATAGAATGGTGAACCTTATGCTCTATATATAACCACAATGATATCGCCTGTGGTTGGGTGAAATATGATGGTCTCTCCAAATAAATGACCTTGTGTTGTTTCGTTATGAGTCGTTCTTCAATGGGGGGAACGGTAGATGCTTCACCCTCCTAACCTACGCCTACCCAGGGCAAATTTCGCCATGCCCCGCTGACCCTGCTGCACTTTTCCCGCTAGGTTGGGTTCCCTCATGTTTCGCCTTGTGAATCGTCTTTTTTCATTTCACTTATCCAGCTCGCCCCATCTGAATTAAAGAAAACAGATGTCCTTTGGCCCATTCCACGTAGGCAAGCACCCACTTCCTTATAGAGTAGGGAAGGAGATCTCGGTAGAGCTGCAGCTTAATTAATCCTATAGATTGGGATGTATAGTTATAAAAAGAAAGATTATTTCACCAATGTAAAGATGACGGTCTCTTTTCTATTTATATGGCAAGCTATGTAGCCATCAACCTTTCCCGGTCGTCAGTTTCTTATACGCTATATTCCTATACTGTAAAATGTTTTTTCCCGCAATTTTAAAGATATGAACCAGTGTTGTAAATAGCGCTCACCTCAGCGCTAATAACATGTGGCGACACGAAGCAGAAGCTCATCGCTATTTTCAGCTGAGGCATCGCGAAATTAGAAAAGTGGCGACGAGGCATCAGTGGGGCAAGGAGACGACGATGTGACAGAAGCATCGATTTTTTTTCACAAAAAAAGCAAGAGACTCTTCTTTCTTCTTCTTCATGAATTATTGACTATCTTGTTCTAGACTTTTAGTATCTACTATCTACTTTAAGTTTTTGAATTGAAATATTTGCTAATACGTTATTGCTATTGAGTTTTTGGTTATTTATATATGCAAATTTAATATATATATTAATTGGCGCTTCACTTAAAAAAGTCGAGAACATTCTCGTATTGACATTAGGTTTTCCTCAAGTATGCAAGGGTATATATTTATTCAGTATGGATGAAAAACTGAAACTACTCCAAAGTGAAAGGGATCTCTACTGGAAGTAGGTTGCTCATAGTTACTGGCCTAGTATGTCTATTTTTGTTTACCTTTCTTTTTTGAGGAACAGAACTTGGTTTAATTTGCCTAGTTTTTTCACTCTTCCTTCGCTGAAACATACTTAACTTTTTGTCCCTTGTATTTTCTTCTTTTTGTGTTTTGGTACTCATTTCATTTCTCGCTGTAGTGCTGATAAAACTGTTTTTGATGGTGACAGAAATCAGTGAGGAATTGCTTCATCAGAGGATCGGTGGTGAGATATGTGCAGTTACCTCCGGATGGAGTTGACATAGAACTTCTTCACGATGCTACAAGGAGAGAAGCTCGGGGTGGCTGAAATCTGGACTTTGAAATACAGTCCATTTTCACGTTTCAGTTGGATGAATCGGCATATACTGATTTTTTCCAACTGTTCAGTGTAATTCTAGATGCATGTTGCACGTAGTAGTTTCCTTCTAATTACTAGCTGCAACCAATGATGTGAATCCAGTGGATGTGAATGACATTTCTGAGTCTTTTGACAAAATTAAGAATGTTAAAAACGCTCGGGGAAATGTTACCTACCAATGGAAAAATCGTTCTTATGGACCATACAAATGTTCTAGTTATATGTCTATCTTCAGGAGAAGTAAAATATGAGATCTTTGGAGGATCATCATCTTCTATTCAATTTGTAACTGGTCCTGGAGATTATTTCCTCCTTACACTAAAATGCAAGTTTTGCGATGCTCTCTGTCTGTGCTAGAGACTAGATAACAAAAGTTATGTGGAAGGCATTATTAATAATGCAAAAGTTATATCGTGTTTAACTCATATCAGGAGGGCTGATGTATAATTAAAGTTACGGGTTTATAATCAATAGTTTTGGTTGTATGTCTCTAAAGTTCAAGTTTGGGATTCACCTCTGGCTCATATGCTATGTCAAGAATTAGAATATTAGCAAAGACCATAGAGTTAGAATTAGAATTGTATTTTGGTGAGAATAATATGCATATATAATAGTACTTGTTTAAATTCTGAAAGCTACGTCTTATGATCTCATGATTTAATGTAATTCTTTTTAGTGACATTACTTGAAATAAGGCATGAATGTATTCAATATCGAACACTTAATAAACATAAGAAAAATAACTGTATAAATCTTCAAAGTTTATTAAGTAATGCTTTTGTAATTTTTTTAGTATTAAACAAGAAATAACATAGGCTAATCGGTGTTCCAATGCTCAAACACGGAAATAGCTAAACTGCACCTCGGAGATTAACATTCACTTATAATTCTTGGTTGTGGCACAAGGTAAAATCTTTGAGAAGAAGCTTCTTTCCTTCTACTAATTAGTAACAGCTAGGTCAAATTACTTTACCATATATATATATATATATATATATATATATATTACAGTGTGTACATGATGCTAAACATATAACTTTTTTACTTTTACCAGATTCTGTATTTATTCTCTATTCGTTTCGTTTCTATAAATCTATTTTTAACCTTTGTTATTATCCATATAAGAATCAGAAACATTGATCCAAGTATCTACAATATTTACTTTCCCTCAGTGACTACTTTAAACCACAAAATATTAGCACTAACTGATGGAACATTTAGTTTCTGCCAAAATCTTACGTTAATTAATGTTCGACCCTAGTTTAGCAATATTTTTGCCTCCTACCATAAAATGCTGCTACTTTCCATAATCAGAATCTATATCTATAAATTGGGTATATTTTCCATTATGACACCATTTTACATCCTCTCAAATTCCCGGTTTTGCATGCAAAATATTTAGCCCCTTTGGTTTTTAGATTGTCCATTTCAATTTTGCCAATCATTCGAAGTCACTGCTTTGTGCTGGTATAATATATATGCAGTTATTTAGAGATATATAATTATGCCAAATATGTATCCTATGTTCTCAGAAAAGAGTAATTAATAATGGTAGCCACACTCACCGAATTAAAATCCTAGATTCGCCTCTCTCTCAACTCCTCTGAGTATATTTTGTATACATATTATATACTCGGTACAATTTTTACTCTTAAGCTTCTTGTGTTTGTTTTCTTATGTTGTCTTGATGGAACAGAGTCGTTATGATGGGGTTATTCACTTTCTTCCTTTTCCAATCTTTACCACTATGATCTCTTTTCATCTTACATTATAATAATCTTACATTAATTTCTAATTGTAAATAAGTGAACTATGAGTATTTATCTTGGATGCACTTTAAAACTGCAGGTTTGTGTTATAAAAATTGATGTCTGCTGTTGCAAAGGGTGTCAAAAGAAGTTGAAGAAATTGTTAACAAAAGTCGAAGGTAATAATTCTCCGATTGTTTAAGTTGGTTTTATCCTTTTTCTTTCATTTATCAATTTTCATGTCAAATAGACCTTATTAGAAAGGGCCTTATTGCACGAGAAGTCTATTTGTAATTTTACCAAAAAGGTCAAAAAGAGAGAATCATATATATATATATATATATATATATATATATATACACTAATATTGTAATTTTAACAAATGTGTATAATTCCAGTATGAGTGTATACATGCATCCACGCAAATCATGTAAAATGATAGGGCAGACCAGTACACAAAGCATCCCCGTTCACTCAAAGTCCCGTCATGTAAAATGATACAAAATTTAAATCTTGTGCTTATTTTCTTATGAGTCCCATTATTGTTCTATAATATTGATGAAGTCTGAGCATGAATGCTTTGGTTAAACCTTTTATGAAACCATTTATAACAAAGAATGTCTGATCTTGGATCTTATGCTAGGTGTATTTGATGTTATGCATGATCCAAAAACAAAATTGGCTACCATTAAAGGAAGATTTGATCCTTTTGTTCTCACGAATACTATCAACAACAAATTGAGAAAGAAAGAAGCAGAAGTCATATCTTATAACAAGCATCCCCCTCTTCATGAAGTACATACTACTGCTCCTGATCAACAAAATGCAGCAGCTCCTCATCCCTACAAGGACAAAGGCAAGACTAAAGTTGGACAGAACAAAAAGAATCCAGATTCTTCGTGTCGCGGTGATTCTAATGAAGCTTCTGATCCCTACAAGTACAAAGGCAAGACCAAAGTTGGACAGCAGAAAAAGAATCAAGAATCTTCATGTCGAGATGAAACATTTATATTGAGAAAAGACACTAAGAAGGATCATAAACCTGAAGCTTATGAGCCCCCAAAAGGGGTTGATGAAGCAATTTGCAGAGATCGTTATTGCAGAATACACAAAAGATCCGGATCCATTCAAGACCGCGTAACTAAAGAAGCAAGAGAGAAAGCATCTTCTACGTTTTGGCAGCTACCAAATCTTTACCAAGGACTATATGGCGGAGAAGCTAGTTATCCGCCTTATCATCCGGGCATGTTTCCACCGGAGTATGGTTTCCGTCCTCCGAGTTTTCCCATGTCAGGGATGAATGACTACACCAGTTACCTCAACAATGAAAATCCTCGCAATTACAACACTATGTGAGGCTGGGAGTTGTACCAAATTGGTTCCATAATTTGATCACGTTTTATTTTCGTCTTCTTTTCTTTTTATCCAATGATTTTTTATCACTAACTTCTAAAGATCCTCTTAGCAACAACGTTAAGAAATTCACACTATGGGTATTATTTGACCTGTTATAGCAGATTGCCATTAAGGACAGTTACATGGTAAAGATTCTTTTACACTATTAGTGTATTGAAACTAAACTCAATTATTAATGATGGTTTGATAATTTTGGACTACAAAAACCCCAGCCGCGCAATGTTAACTGCTGATAAATTGAAACTTCGTTCTCCATTACACTACTTTTCGGACAAATCAGCACTTTGATTTTCTGATGGAGAACTAGTACCTGAGATATTCTAAGCAATGCACTTGTATGCTTCCTGCCTAGTTGAAATTCATTTAGTTATAGTCAAGATAAATGACCTTTTGCTTGTTCCTGACTATTTATAACTTATGGACAAATTTATGAGTGTTTTGTCTAGGTTATACACCCAGATTAAGAATCACACTATGAATGTTTATACACCCAGTTTAAGAATCATATTAAGGCCAATCAAGTTGGCAATTACACGTCCGATAACTTGTTGAGCGTAGTGCATTGTCCTAAAAACATCTAAACCGGACATCATGTCTTGTTCATGAGCCACACATGAACTCTAAAGTAGACTACGCCATAGCTGCGTATGGAATTACTGATGAAGCAAACTGCAAGTTCACTTTCTGTTTACCTGTATCATTGATTAGTTATAGTCACGTCAGATCAAGGAATGGAGACCTCAGAGACTGCTATATCTACTTCCCTTCTGACTGTACCTGAAGCAATGCCTTTATATTAGAGATTAACTGAACCAGATGGAAAACTTACTTAAATTGTGATTTCCTCCAGGTTTTCTCTACAAATCACAGAATAAACTAATCATGTTCAATCCTAAATTAGTTAGAATTGACTATACTCTAGAAATACTTCTAACAAATATCGAACCAAATGTAACTACAAACTAAACATTTATCTCAATTACTTTGCATTCACATATGTCTTTTTCCTTTACTGTAATTTGTTCTTACATATTGAGAGATTATAGGTCTTTTAGGACAAGTTTCCTGATTTTAGGTCTACCTCAATTTCTTTTAACACATCATTATCATATTATTGCACTCACGGGCTGGTGCATATGTAGGTTTCTTTCGCTAAGAATATCATTACTTCCCACAGATCACACATACAAGAAAATATTAACGGCCAGATTCAGTGATAAATTCTGGAATAAGCTTTGTAGAGCAATTGTGATCTCTGCCTATTTATTCCGCTTCTATGTCATCGCTTTTGGCTTCTACAAGACAGGTGCCGAAACCAGTGTGTCAGATGTGAAAGCATATTGCAGTGTTGAAAGCTAAGTTGCTCCGACACGGCAGTTTAGGTGTCGCATCCGTGTCGACACGACACTAGTATGGGTGTGGGTATGGGATCCGTGCAGGATCTGGCCAAACAATTTTGGATACTTTGACCACGACAAACGGAAAAATTCCAGACGAGATACAATTTGATTCCCGAAATAAGAACTAAAACTAGTGTAAATTCGAAGAAAATAGCATATCTTATCTAGGAAATCCTTAAACTTATCTACAACTTGAGAATAAAAAAATCCACACTTCACAAGCTATAGGTGAGTATTCCACAATTTCTCATAATTTAGAGATATTTTTCTTTTTTTGAATTATACTGTCCACCCATGCTTAACACTAGGAAATATTTTGACAAAGCTGTCCACCTTATTAAGGCAAGAAAGCAAAAGCAAATGGTAAATCCAAAATCTTGTAACACGAACGGAGAGATTCATCAAATTAGTTACTTACTTATATCAGTGTATCCCCTGAATAAACATGATAGTATTATTTTCCCACATAATCTTTTTTAGAATGACATCATGTAAAATGACAGACAAAATCCTAATAATCAACTCTTATAGTCCTATCCTCACTAGGAGTATTAAGGTAAGGCCAAGAGGCAGAGCGTGGAGGGGGTACCAATGTCTTTTGGTCTCGCCGGCGAAACTTCTGTCAAGACATTGCGGTGGTGGGTGGCGGTCCTGGCGGACTGTGGTGTGAGTTAGGGAGAGAGAAGCTGGGTTTGGAATTGGAGAAAGAGTTACTTCGTTTCTAATTTCTGTCGTGGAGGGAGAAAGAAAAAGCAAAAAAAGAAGAAAGGAATCTGGTATGCTAAAGAAAAGTTGTTCAATTACAAAACAGTAAAAAAACAGTATGCTATAGTCAGGAACTGAACTCAGATCATTGAACCTAAGGGGAGAGAGTTAAGGAGCCCCGTCGACCACTGACCCATTTTAACATTTGTATATCATGGTGCCTAGTAAAATATATCTACATTTTGCTGGGTATATATATCCAAGGTTAACAGGATCCTGTGACCCCCTTTCCCATAGAGTAGGTTCGCCTGTGGTAAGGCCTAGCCCCCTTTACCTGTACTATCTCTTTTGAGTATTATTAAAATAAATCACCCATGAATTCGAGTTTGGAACCTAGGTGGTTCCCTTAAAAAAAATGTCATGTACCTCAGGTTTTGATGACAAAATCTCCTCAAACTGCTTAATAAGCTCCGGAGGAGAGATTCTATCTATCTCAGCTGCTAAAATAGCTATTGAGGCCTTAACCTCTGCAAGTAATATGTATCATCAGTCGATGGGCAGGATAAAAAAGATACATGTTCAAGGTAGTCATCAGAATTCAAACAATAGTTAATACCAATTGCTTAGAACCAAGAGTATTCATAAATTAAGTAGCAAAGTTCATATTAGAAAGGAATTGAGGCGTAAATGAATACAACCAGCTATATGAAGTCTTTGGAGTACTAAACATCAATCTGGATCTCAATGTCCCTTGCAGTAATAGTATATGCAACAAATTCGTATAAAATCCAGGATTCAAGTGACATTGAGAAAATCAAATGGAACGGGTGAATATGCAACAAATTGGTATAAATCTGCGGTAATAGCTCAATCTGATCACAGGTGATTTTAGTAATAACAGCCATACCTTTAATATCATCAACTTTGACTAATGATGGATGCAATTGCACTGCAGCTTGAATGTAGCAAGACTTGGCTAGGTCGGTAACCACCTTTGCTGTTAGAAAACTGGAGGTCAGGATCACATTCCAACTATCACAAAGGCATTGACCCTCTACATCAATAACCCTAAAACCTTAGTGCAAAAACTTACCGCCCCAGCAAAATCCTGCAGCCCCAATTGCAGATATACCTTTATCTTTGAGAGCAGCAACAACTTTTTTTGCATCTTCAAATCCTTTATCCTAAAAAGAATTAACAAATAAAAAATTAATAGCATAGTGGCAAGAGTGTTGCTACAAATATCACGGAACATTCCCAAGCATTATCAACTTAATGAATGGAGAAATAGGATATTGATGGCATGGCCTCCTTTGACTCCGTAGAGTCAAATCAATGGCTATTTAATAAAAAAGAAAGCCTAAGTTCAACAAATTATGAACACATACTGTTCCATGTGATTGTATCCAGATTGATAAAGGCTTCTCCGTGTTTTCAGGATTATAAGGATCACCATAAAGAAACTCAGGAACTACCACATAGTATCCTGCAGCTGCAACTTTGTCAGCAAGTTTCCTACATAAAAACAGTTGAATTTTGCGATCAGCCAAAGATACAAATAGGAAATTGTTGCAGCGTAATAACTGGACAAACACAGAGAATGGTGACCTGACTTCTTCCCGTGGTGTTTGATAAACACCAGAGAGATATTAAGCCAAGAGCTTTTACACAATAAGCAAGTAACAATTGTGAGGTGGGAAAGAATAGTAATTTAAAAGCTATTTGACTATTCTAGGCTGAACTTGAGAAGCAGTGCGTACCTTAGATTTGGTGCTTCATAACCTGCCAAGAATTATTAAGACCATAAGAAATCGTCTTCCGAAATAAAAAGTTCATCCCTTCACTATAATAAACTAAACAGGAAAATCAAAAGTCTTTTGCATCTCTAATATACATATAAATTTTCTTGTTAATCCAGAATAAATATTTGTTGTATACCCAATTTGCTTGAACTTTGAAGAACTCGATGCAAAGAAACTTTCAATAACGAAAATGCAAGAACGTAAAAGAACTTAATAAACATTCCATACATCCTGTTGCTGAGGCTCTAATTGTTGTATTTCTTGCTACAAGTAAATTAACTACATACTAATTGTACTAAAAAAAAGAAGAGGAATTTTCATAAAGCACTACAGTATAGAGCTTAATTACCATAAGTAACTATAGTTTTCTTTCTTTTCCGAAAAAAAGAAAGAAGGGGCAGAAAGAGAAATGCAAATGCAAATGGAGCAGAATCGTATAGCGCAAAGTTGATGAATAAGACGGCAGTTATATAAAAGGGGAGGAGGTGAGTACCATAAACGTCGGAGACGAGAAGGATGGCGAGTTTGGAAGAGGAAGGACCAGAGACGTATGATTTGAAGCCACCAATTTCTAAAACGGACCCAACTCCGCTACTTGAGCTCAATGTTGGTGGGTTTGAGCCCCTGCCATCTTTTGCTACTTTAGATTGATAGAATACAGAGAGTGTTTGTGTGTTTGACCAAGACAGTGAGTGATTATATATAGACAGAGAGAAGTGGAAAATGAGGATACCATTAATTAATTAATTAGGACGCAAAAACTTACACCTGATATGAGAGAGATTATGTAGAATCTCTTTTTTCACATGAATGTACAACACTTTCATGCGTCTCATTCAGTGTAAACTCTTTCGAACAAGGAAATATTATCCCCTTGACTTCAAAATGAAAGGTCAAATGCGATAGTCATTGACGGAATCATTAAAAGGTATAACTCACCCTCAATTAATACTTATGAATTATGGAGTATATATTTCAATAAATAAAATTTAGATACTAGTAGTATATTCTATAGAAATTATTATAGGGGATAAAAGGAATTCTGAGTGAGATTTTCACTAATACCACTAAACTATAGGGTTGATAATTCCAAATATTGCATGGCACTTTTTTCGCCCCTTTTGATTTATTTTTATTTTGATGTTCAGAACCTCATTTGCTTCACGGTACTTTTTTATATAGAGTGTCAAATTTTAAATATGTTTGATCCATTTAGTTACTTGTATTATCACTAGTATTAAAGTTTTACTTTAACTAGTCAATTTTATAGACACTATCTTTTCTATCCCATAGAAATTTTAAAGGCCTAACTTTTAAAATATTTCATTGACAATCATTTCGAAAATATTTCGAACGTCAATTCAGTTTATAGGGATATGATATTTCAAAATTTTGAAAACCACCTAAAACCATGCAAAAGATAAATAAAGTGTAATGATCCGACCGGTCGTTTTGAGCATTTGCACTTCGTTTGGTAGTTTGGGGGCGCGAGTAGCTCCGTATGATGTATTAGGATTTGTGTGCAAAATTTGAGTTCATTCCGAGTTGATTTGATATGTTTCGGCGCGAGTTTTTGGAAGTCGAAAGTTCATCAAGTTTGATTTGAGGCGCATTTCGTCATTTCAATATTGTTATGCATGATTTGAGGCTTTAAGTTGGTCAGTGTTATGTTATGAGACTTATTGGTATGTTCGTACGGGGTCCCGAGGGACTCGGGTGAGTTTCGTATAGGTTTGGGCTACGTTGCGCTCGTTTTTCTTATAATTCGACGTCGTTTCTTCAAGCATAAATGGTACTACATTAAATAAATGAGCTCTGATTTCTGTTTTGATTGAAGCATTATATCTGAATCATAATTACGGAGCCATAGCAAAAAGAATAGTCGAATTTAGACATCGATGAGGAATTTATGGTCATTTCACTAAGAATTGGGTTGCTAGATTTTTCAGATTAATTACGAAATTGGCACTGGATTCATATTTAAAAATCTGCACTATTTGCAAATACTGAAACCAATATATCTCTTTTATTATAAGGTCAAATGGAGTGATTCAAAAGCGTAACTTGACTAAAATTTTACAAGAAATCCATTGGAGCACATCAAAAGTGAGTTTTGGGATCGTTTGGCACAGAAAACGAGGCAGAATAGCTGGCAGAAAAATATATAAAATAAAGATTTGTTCATTTGATCATATTTTGAGTTAGGGAGCTCGGATTTAGGCGCTTTTGGAGGCGATTTTCACCATATGGATTGGGGTAAGTGTTATCTACTTGGTTTTGGTTATATTTTATGAATCTATCTTCATTTTTGGAATTTGATTGATGATTTCAAACTAAAATTTGGGGGTTTTTGTCTAAAGTTTCATAAAGTGAATTTTTAAGTTTTGAACATCGATTCGGAGTCGGAATTGAGTGAAGCTAGTATGATTGGATTTGTAATTGGATGGGTTGTCGGATTTTGTGAGTTTTACCGGGTTCTGAGGTGCGGGTTCAGGTTGGACTTTTTGGCCGATTTTGGGCTTTTGATTAAAGATTCAACCTTTTTCGATTGGGATTGGTTCATTTAGCATTGTTTGATGTATTTGAGTTGTTTTTGATTAGTTTCGAGCTATTCGGAGGTCGGAACGCCCGTGATGGCATTTTTGGAGCATCGCTTGGCTTGCTCGGTATTGGAATTGGCTTGTTCGAGGTAAGTAACTCTTCTAAACTTACTGCTGAGGGTATGAAACCGCGAATACATGCTATGTGATTGATGATGAGGTGACACACATGCTAGGTGATGGGCGTGTGGGCCTGAACCCTGTGAATGGTAACTCCGTTATTTTCATGGCACTATTTAGTGGCCCTATTTTGTTGATATCTGTGTTTTCACCATGTGATAAAGTAACTAAGCTGTCAATCATGCTAGATATTATATTTAGGCTTTATGTGGATATTGTTAGGACCCATAGTTGTCGTTTGTCATCTCACTAATTTCATTGATATTTCGTACTCAATCATATTCATGCATCCATATCATATCTCAGTCTCAGTTGTATTTATTGATATATCATATCATTATTGTCGGACTAGTTTCATGACATTACGAGCCTGTAAGCAAGACTGGAGAGTTTGATAACTGAGTGAGGCCGAGGGCCTGACTGAGAGTGATATTATGAGATCGGGCTATACGCCGCAGCATGTTATATTGATTATATTCTATGGGATTGGGATGCATGCCGCAACGATATAGCGCTTGGGCTGAAGGAGCCCCTCCGGAGTCTACACACCCCTAGTGAGCGCAGTCGACTATGTATATATATATATGGATCGGGTTGCATGTTGCAACGAGCCTTATGACTATATATATATGGATTAGGTTGCACGCCGTAACGAGCCTTATGGCTATATGTATATGGATCGGGTTGCACACCGCAACGAGCCTTATGGCTATATGTATATGGATCGGGTTGCACACCGCAACGAGCCTTATGGCTATATATATGTGGATCGAGTTATACGCCGCAACGAGTATTGTACATTGCTGAGTATTGAGCACGATATGAGATAATGCGAGACAATGAGGTTGAGTACTCTGAGAGTGTGAGTACATGAGTTCATCACTGAGAGGCATTGCATTTGACATGCGTACTTGAAATACATGCATAAAGATGCATTTCCATTTTACTGCCCGGTTTTGGTGACATTCATGATTTTTACCTGTTTCTTGACATGTAGGCATAAAGATGTACTTTCCTCATGCTATCTGAAAATGAAACATTTTCTGATGAAAGATTTTTGGGAAAAATTACAGTTTTCAAATTATCTCATATTTTTCGAAGATTTCGGTAAAGGATTTGGGTTTTCAATGATACTCTTTAAAAGTGGAACTACTTTCGAAAAAACTGTGAAAAATATAAGCATTTTATCTGTGAGTTACTTCCTTATTTATATGCTCTACATTGTTATGAATTGTTGTTGGATCCGAACTATGTTCCAGCTCGCCACTACTTTCAACCTAAGGTTAGGTTTGTTACTTATCAGTACATGGAGCCGGTTGTACTGATACTACACTTCTGCAAATTGCATGCAGATGTTGGCTGTTGTTATTGCTGTGTTCGATGGTTGCTGGATTTAAAGGTGTGCCTGCGTCCCTGTTGTAGCTGCCTCTAGTTCATGGTAGCCTTAGATTTATAAAACTCTGTTTATGTATCTTTCAAACAAAAGATGTATTTACTTCATATCAGCTTTGTAAACTCTATTCTTAGAAGCTCTTGATTTGTACTACCAGTCCTTGGAAAATGTATAAGTTTCAGATAATTTCGTCCATTTAATTGTTATATTAATTTAATTAGAAATAGATAATTGTTAATTGGCTTACCTAGCGGGTTGGATTAGGTGCCATCACGACTAGTCGAATTTTGGGTTGTGACAAATTGGTATCAAAGCTCTAGGTTCATAGATTCTACAAGTCATGAGCAAGTGTCTAGTAGAGTATTGCGGATCGGTATGATAATGTCCATACCTATCTTGGAGAGGCTACATGGCATTTAGGATAAACTTCCCATCTTTCTTTCTTTATCATGCGATATTGATTCAGCTTGAAGCGTAACTCTTGAATTCCTTCCACACATTCGTAAGAGCATATGAGCACTTGGTATCAGCTGTGCATCGACAACTTATTATTCCGGGTATGAGGTAGGAAATGTGATTTCAGTATGCTGATGATGGGCTAGTCTGGAGGGCTTGTGGCCGGGTTTTAACTGTAGCTTGAGCATAGAGATGTTGATTGTGTGAACACGTGCTTTTGGACTTATATGTCCGGTAGTATCCCTATTAGTGAAATTTATGATTGGATGACTATGTAATGAGTATGACATGACCGCTGGATGTGTTCAGATATATTGGAGTTGGTGAAAAGAGTTTGATTGAGGTGTAAATTGGGTGCTCGATTTTTGTCTTGATGGGACACATAATCTCGATTTATGAGTGAATTGGAAGATTTTTCATGTTGGGTAATTGTGGAACTAGATAGATTCTCATGTCTTATTAATGAGTTCAGAATCATGAAGATCAATCAATTGCGTAGTAGTTGTGACTGTGGAAGGGTATAGAGATATGTCAGTTTGAGGCAAAGCAGATGGGTTATCTCCTGCAGGGTGTCTTGAGGGTTGCGTGATCTCTATGTTGTTTTGCAGCGAGTTCTCCTTTACCAGTGAATTATATGTGTTGCAATTTGAGTTTGGATTGCTTATGAGAGTTGGCTTGACTATTACGAGTATGCATGCGAGATTTGCAAATGATTCGAGGTATTATATGGTTTGTGTTACACGAGCTTATGAAGGGTTTAGTTGAGATTCAGTGCAAGATTTTGGCAGCAATAGAGTATGGGTATTGTAAGTTATTAGATGCTTTGTTCCTTGGCTTTGAGCCAAGTGGGGGAGTATTCTATCGATAGGTTGATTGCGCGGTTATGTGTTGTATTGGTTTCAGCTTGAGGTATACTGGTGAATCAGTATGACTTACAGAGGTTGGGATCAAGGATGACTCGAGTAAGGCAATTTTTGGATACGAGTTATATTACACTCTATGGGTATATGAAAATTAAGGAATGATTGAGTGGTTATTTGTGAAGGATGTAGTGTTCATGGAGTAGAAATTTGCTCGTTTGCTTAGAGGTATGAATTACTTCTTAGGGTATTGATGTGCAAATGAGGCACAGATTGTTCAGTTTGTTTGATCAGTTTAATTAAGATTT